CCCCCCCCCCCCCCCCCGCATATACAGATTCTTGTGCACTGGCCAAAGGAAGAATTACCCTGCACATGAGATTGTGTTTCTCGCCGCGGCGGGAGACCCGCGAGGCCAGATTCCTCCATTCCGGCAGTTTCCAAAACCTCCCCTCGATCCAACTCCACAAAATGGCCACAACGGAAGAAAAAAACCTACTGCTCTGACCAACTGGGCGTCGTACGGACGAGGCAGAAGTGCGCTGGGAATAAACACGTCACGTACCGGGTCTTAAAGTACAGGGCGCTTAACCCATCGGCCATAAACTTCATCTGACGATCTAGCAGCAATAGCCAAAAACAACCAACTAAAACCTGCTCTGTAGTCATTCTCCAAACTTTCCAGGTCACCATCGTCAACAATAGAGGCCTCTTTATTAGCTTATTAACTATTAACACATATATAAACAAAATTTTATATAAAAAAAAATATATACATACTCACATCCTACACACACATATACACCCCATAGGTAATGGTTATTCACGGTATCTAAAATGCTCTCCATTACAGCTTTAATGTTCCCAGAACAGGAATGAGCTACGAAGATCATGTGACCAGACCCCGTCCCTAAAGGTGCCGGAACTTTCCAGTGGTGTACTGAGGAGGAAATGTGACCTTGCCCTTCTCCAAATATAACATTTATAGAGACCTGTGAGATCAGGCTTATACTGCACCACCCAGTCAAACTATCTTAAAATATTAAAATCAGAGTCTGAACAGGACAGATGCAAGAAATAAAGCAAAATAGAACTTCGCTTAACTCAAGAGGCAGAAGCGTTTATTTAAAGTGAGGCACCCATCCATCCTGAGTCACCACTGCACAAAGACAAATAGAGGCTTAAAGAGCGGAAAAAACAAGAGGCAACTGTCTCTTAAGATATACAGAATGGCACATCGGTGAGATAACTACAGCAATAACCACACCAGCTGTTTACAAATCAAATAGCAAGTCATCATTCACTCTCTACGCTTTAAGGCAGCATAGAACAAAGATCGGCCATTGGGACTGTGACCGTGTTAGGTTAACAGTCCAGGAGGGCCTCACCTTTGACCTTGGCGATGACGATTCCGGCCGCACTGAGAATGTCAACGGAGTTGAGGGTTTGGTGCTTGCCGATGACAGCCTTAAGAACCCGTAGCAGCTCACCCAGGCGGTCGTGGACGATGGCATGTAAACAGTCGTGGTTCTCTGGAGAGGAAATGACAGAGTAAGAGAGACGGTGAGAGGAAGGAACAGCCGCATTCACAGCTTTACACACACCCCTACTACCACTAACTTCCCTCTGCTACTCGCATGAACAAGAACAGCACCGGTTTGCACAAAAGGGAACTGGTTTCAAAAAGTCTAAAGAAAAGGGGCTGAGTAATAATCTGCAGGGGTGAATGTCATAATCGCGGTCTTCAACCTACCTCTTAAAACAAGTCCAAAACACAAGCTGCCCCAGAATACTCTACGCAAAGAGTCTGCACGTGCACATGTCGAAAGACAGGGTCATAGGATACATGTCATAAGTTAAACATGCACCACGGGATGACTGGCCAGTAATTTTCCCATAATGCCATTCACGCATGCTTCAAGAAATTACCCAATGACAAAGACTGAGCACAATGACTATGACCTCACCATACTGTGCTAAAGAGGCACATCCAAAGAGCAGATCAAACGTTTCCAGAAACAAAAATAAATCACACACCTCCACCCACTGGCAGCCCCCGGAAAACAGCAGCGTTGCCTGGGAAAGCGGGACCCAGGGTTAGACATGCACCCCCCACACCAAAGGCTGCGTGGGGACACGGCCCTGCGAAACTGCAAAGCTGCATTTGTGCTGACGGCCTTCATAGGATTACTGCAACGCATGCGACAGGAGATCAGGCAGACTCCGCCTGTCTGCCAGCTTCTATCTGTGCCAGTTCATGGGGGGGGGGGAATGACAACAGGCTCATAGTCAAAAAACATGCCGTTTTCCATGGAACAAAACATGCCAGGAAGACCTGTGGAGTTCTGAGGCTCGGAGCACAGATGCATTCTACATGTTTTCTGAAAAACATGGAGGAACCTCGGAGGGGGTGGGCGTTTCGGACTGAACTGTTTTTAAATGTAGCATGGTCATCAAAGCCAGGTGACAATATGGCAGCCATTGTGGATCCCTTAGTTCTGACTGAGAGAATGTCGCCTGGCTTCTAATCAACCACAGAGATAAGAGAATGGACAAAAATTGGCTGTTTATGCCCCCGCCCCCCCGACTCCCACCCCCACTGTCACCCAACCAGCCTGGCAATGGGAGGCCAGTCAGTCAAGTTCCTGAGCTTCTGCTCAATGTTATCATGATAAGAGATCTATCTGTGCAGTTCCCCATTAAATCCATGAAGACACAGCAGTGGAGCCACATCGACGAGACTATTTAGTGACATCACTGGGTGACATCACTGGCAGTGAACATAATAATAATAATACATTTTATTTATATAGCGCTTTTACAAGAACTCAAAGACGCCTTACAGAGAAAGTACACAGAAAACAGATTATACAAAATACACATTATTCATACGGAAGGTTGAATGCCTGAGCAAAAAGAAAGGTTTTTAGCTTGGATTTAAAATCTGAAACAGAGGTCGATAAACGGATGGTAGTGGGTAGTGAGTTCCAAAGGCGGGGAGCTAAACGGGAGAATGTACAGTCACCATAGCTATGTAATTTGGATGGGGGGGATGAGGAGAGACTCAGTAATGGAAGATCTAAGACTGCAGGGGGGCTGGTAGGGTAGAAGCAAATCAGTAAGATATGTTGGACCTTTTTGTTAAGAGCTTTAAGTGTCAGAAGCAGCATTTTGAAGTGAATGCGCTCTTTTATGGGGAGCCAGTGCAGGCTCTGCAGAACGGGTGTGATGTGCTGATGGGAACGAGTGAGAGAGGAGGCGGGCAGCGGAGTTCTGAACTATCTGAAGTTTATGGAGAGATTTAGCGGAGATACCAGTGAGTAGTGAGTTACAGTAGCCAGGACGCCTAGAGATAAAGGCATGAATGAGGGACTCGGCAGCAGAGTCTGAAAGGTGTGGCCGGATACGGCGACGTTACGGAGGTGAAAGCGAGCTGTTTGTACTGTGGCACGTAGGTGTGCGTCAAAGGCATCCATGCATCCATAAGGAGGGGGGGGGGTGTTGAAATGCAATAAATGGGAGAGCCAACAGGTCACCTGGTGGGGGCAAGGGGTAAATGGGGAAGTCCAGGCGGGGGGGGGGGGGGGGGATCCACGAAGGCGCAGCTGCCCAGATCAGGTCCCCGGGGTTCATACCACATATCAACGCTAATTTGCGTCATGGAAACCCCACATTCCAGCATCGCGACCCCCGTCCATCCCATGACATAACCTTGATTCCATTGGACTAAAAGACAGAGTTCGGTACTCAAGAAGGGCGCAGAAGAGGGGGGAGGACAACTTACTAATGTCTGTTTATTGGTGGGGGGGGGTGTTGGTACGCATGCTTTGCTGTGCAAAGATCCCACCTGCGCAGAGAACCGCAGACTGGCTGTTAGTTACTGGTATTAATGTCCAGCGCAGAGTCCCCCTGTTCCTACAGAGCCGGGAGGCGAATCGCCAAAGCAGAACCAGCACGTCGCTTTGAGCAGAAGCACCCGTGAAACAAAACAAACGGAACAATCAGGTCAAAGACAGAGATGGTGCTGCTCTGCTCAGCCGACAGCTTGTCACAGGATTCATTTTTGATCAAATCTTGACCCATTTACACACACACACACACACACACACACACACACACACACACACACACACACACACACAGGTATTCATATCTTTGTGGAGACCGTCCTCTCATTTTTATGGGCAAACAATGACAACCTTAACCCCAACCCAGCCCTAATCTTAACCATAGGTAACCAAACAAAAAGTTAAGTTAAGTTAAGTTTTCTGACTGCAGTCACAGATTTTTATAAAACTGAGTTTCCCCCGTGGAGACCGAAAAATGGTCCCCACAATGTGATCTATACATAAACCACACACACGCCTCTCCCCTTTAGGTGAATTACACAGAGGAAGCCAGCACCCAGGCCAAAGGTATTCCCCTGCACACAAAGCGTAATCACTGTGACTAATGCCCCCTCTTCTTGCCCTTGATTCTGGGTCTTTATCCCCAAACTCACTGTTCTCCAAAAAAAAGATCTACATTCCAATCCTACATGCGTGAATTCCTGCCTCACCACTCCTGAATGAAAACACTCCAGAGTGCACGCTGCGGCCTCAGACATTTGGCAAGACGGCGCGCAGAAAGCACGAGGCTGCGAGTGCAGGCGACACGTCGCGGGTATGGGGCAGGACAACGCAAAGACCGGAGCGTTTCGAAACCCCAGAAATCGGCTTTCAGCGTTGCCACATACCCTGGTAGAAACAGATCCTGGAGATGAAACGTAAAAATATGACAGATTAAGTCAGCAAAGTCAGTGGTGGCCAATCTTATCCGCAAAGGGCCGGTGTGTATGCAGGTTTTTGGGTCCAAACCTTTAGGTCAGCTGTCCAAAGTCCAAACCCAGGTGTGAGGACTCTTCAGCCAATCAGTCCTCTAATTAGTAATATAATTAGGGAGCTGCAGCGAAAACCCGCCTGTCACGCCCACGGGGGCAGATCGGACAGGTGCAGGACATCAGGGACTGATCACCTCCTCAATATAACAAACCAGTATTGCGCTAATGAGAAGCCTTACTGAGCGTCATTCCGTCTCCCGTCCCCCTAGAGAAGCCCCTCTGCCTCTCACCACATCTCCGGTCACCCGGGTGGTGGTTCTCTCCATTCCTCGCTTCGCGGGGCTGACGATTGCCTGTGATACCTCACCCTTTGCCTTATTAAAGCTCTGCTTTCCCCGTACTTCTGGATGCTTGTCTCCCTTATCTACCCGGTGTGAAACCGCCACACACAGCGGCCCTTTGCGGATAAGATTGGCCACCCCTGCCCTAACTGAAGGGATGTCAACTTTCTGTGACTGAAAACAAGAAGCTTCTTACATTGATTTATTTAGCAGAGTAATCCCCGTATCAGCCAGGGGACTGGGGCACAAAAATGGCTGATCCTGTCCCCTTCGTTGGGGAGGGAATATTTGGGTTTAGGAAGATATGGGTGGATCCACCTCGCAGCATGGATTCTGCTACCTACAATCCACTCCCAGGATTAGGGAATTACATGCAACATGGGAGGGGGTGTGTATGTGTGTCTGGGGGGGGGGGCATCCCACCCTCGCAGACAGCATCCCTGCTGCTTTACCTTTGAAGTTCTGTTTTCCCATGAGTGAGCACAAAGGGCCACCATTAAACCCCACCCCCCCACGGGGGTCTGGCCCGCTTTCCCCAGTGAGGCAGGGACCAAAGCTGGCCAGTGTGCCTGAGAAACCGCGTGCGAGGGGCGTGCGCCGGATGATGCTGCTCGATGATGCAGTGGGACACCAAAGCAGTGGTACTTCATATCGCGCATTTCCAAAAGCGTCACCATTTCCCAGTCCTGCCACTGCTTCCCAGCTATTCCACACCGATGCTCTGTGGACCAAACCATTACAAACACGGGCAAACAATGATACTGGACAATACAGGAATTTTCTCATTTCTTTTGACAGTTTCATCCTTCAACCAGTGACCTTCCACGTGCCTTGTGAATATGACCATTTACTGAAGAGTATTTCTCAGGTGACCAGCAAGCAGATCTGTGGATTTTGTTTAACAGACACGCTCATTCAAACGCGCAACTGAGAAATCAAGGCCTCGTGGTCCGTGGAGTAACTAGGCCATGCTCAGAGGCCCAATGGAGAAATCGCTCTGCCAACCACGGGATCTGAACTGACGACCTTCTGATCACAGGCACAGTGTGCTAACACATGAGCACGATGACGTGGTGCGTGACTGTGGACGTTCTCAGAATGCAGTTACCAGGTTACCAGCTTCTAAGTAGGTTAAGCTCAGCAATAACGACGGGGAGTGGTTTCGAGTGAGCTGTTCCAAATAAGGTTTGTTTACGGCAACAGCGCGCGCAGCAGGGTGAAGGCAGCGTGTGAGTATGTGGGTCATCAAAACGGCTCGCTGCATCGAAGGACTGCAAAGGGGACTTAACATTAAGGGTTGCAATTGCAGCCTCACCATGGCATAGACAGAGCGAGAGGATGTGGCACCGTCGGCCGCCACCACAGAGCGTCA